GTGACATTGTTGGGCTACACAAGCCACCCTGTGACAGAGCTTAATAAATTGGGTTTGATTTCCAGCCACAAAATGGAATAACGACCTTTTCCTGGAAACAGGCTTTCAAAGCCGCCTCTGCTGCTTGTCAAATTGGTCTCATTTTCCCAGGGGTTCGAGAAATGTAATTGGAAGTCCCACTGGCAGGGTGTCGCCATATCGCCAGTGTCCACCACCTATCTTAACTGCTAATGTCAGCGCCGTGTCACAGCAGCAGCAGCAGTAAGCTCTTTTCAAGGCCAGAAAGGTCCATAAAAGCAAAATTAAATTTCCAGAAAATGCCAGGAAAGCCAAGCAAAAAATGGGTGTATATATATAGCTCAGTGGAAATGACTTAATCGATTATTTGGCTTTCAATTATAAAGCTCTACACTTCCCTGTCATATTGGCTTACGTATTCAGGTTAGTAAAAGTGTTTTTTGACAAGAAAAACACTGCGTATAAACTCGGAAGCGACATGGCCACAAACGATAGCTCACTGGAGTGGCTCATAACGTGGAAATGTATATTAGCCAAATACTTAAAACACATGTTTATAAATGTTAAGGAATAAACTGGAGGACCCGGAGAAAAATCCACCAGACAACAGGGAGAACATGCAAACTCCCAAATACACAGGCATCAGTCAGGATCGAATCCACGACCTCCTGTATACCCGGCGATGTAGTTAACATCTCGCCACCGTGGCACCCAGTGTAACAGGGATTATCCAAACATCCCAATGCTGAACAGATTACTTGCACGTTTTTCAACTTGGATCACACACAGCAGCAACAACATCGCCCGCAAGTACGAAAACTTGGCAAGACACTCCTGAAAAAGAGTCTTGGGATTCAGTGAGATTTTCCTGGTTAAAGCTAGCATAATAACAAGAATAATCATGTGAACGATAGTTAATCACCGCTCTACGGGTCTCTGACAGGTTGATAAGTTCACCAAGCACATGTAAGTTATTCCTTCCTTTGCTTTTGTAATAAATACGTTTAAATATTATTTTTTATAAACGTCTACGAATAGAACCAAAGAGTATGTTTACAAGCTTCGCCAACATTACTCGATTCAGTAGATGTAACAGCGTTGTTATATTGATATTCATTGTTATATTTGCACGTTCAGGATATGTTTTTTTTTTACTTTCGAGGCCACACCCTTCTTGACGAATGCGTTGCGTTGTTTATGGTCTTGTCCCCGTGCACCACTGACACTTTGTTTGGATGCAGCCGGTGCTCCGTCATCGTTGTCGTCTGACAAAATTGTCACCGGTGCAGCAAACATCTTTTAAGTGGGTTTCAAAAAACAAAACGATTGCAACTAAACCCTGCGGAAGTTGCTTCGCTCATTAATGGAAGTAAAAAAAAAATCTCACCTTAACCATCTTTTTGTGGTTTAATTCTCAGTGTCCCCTGCATTTACCACACAAATGAGCCCTAACAGAAACACAGATCCCGCTCTGGTTTTCTATAGACAACAGGGTAGTGTGTTCATGTGTACATTTGCATGAGGCTTTAAAGCAAACGCAACGTGTGTTTTCGTTGGCTTGACCACTCTCCGTGTGCGTTTGTTTGCTGTAGTGTAGCGGTCAGCGCTACGCTGCACCACGAACCCGGCGACCCGAGTTCAATTCCCGCTCACGGCCAACGCCAGTGACGATTATTTGAACCGGTCCTGGGCCTACTCTAGGTCGCCTCGGCCTCAAATGAGTACCTGGTGCGATGTGTAAACATCGCCACTTGGGAGACAAAAGCGGCCGGGCGTGGTGTTGGCAACCCACCCCCTCGTGTGCCGCGCCGGCCTTCATAGGTGTTGCTCGCTAACAGCACTTGCCCCAATAGTCTACACGGTGGAATCTTTTTCTTGCTTGGGGAATTTTTTTGTCACCTCCATTTTTGGCTCATTTACGTGTTTTATTTTCCAAACTTGAGAAAACGGAAGACACGAGCTATCCATTATCTGCTGCAGAATGGACATTAAAGATCCAGTGACATTGCCAAGCGTGAGCTGCTGTTTGGAATCAACGATGGGATGAATGTTTATTTTGTCAGTCATCAACAGCCATGATTGATCACTGCTGGATGAAGGCCCTCCCCAACAATTTCTCCTCGCCGTGAGCCGGTTTCATTTCTGCGTCTGAACGTCCTCTCGGGCTTGTTTCTCCTCCTTTGGGTTCCACGCCGTCATTAGTCTTAACCCATCTGCCATAATTGTTGTGAACTTCCTGACCCCGTGCCCCTACTGGAAAATCTGTGAAAACGAGCTTTTTAGCTCATCGGATTCCTCCAGCATAAATGAATATTCTGATTCTGATCATCTCTTCGAGCGACATGCCCTGCCCGACGGTCAATGTGACGCGTCCGGCTTGCATGTTGGCATCGACCGTGGTCTTATTCGCTACTGGATGGAGGCCTCCCCCCAAGCACCGGCCCATCTGGCTCCTGCGCACAAGCTGACTTCCTCTCTGCATCTCTGCAGTGGTCTTTCTTTCAGGCGTGTTGCCTTCTTTGACTGCAATTCATTCATTTGATTTCATTTTGGCCAGGTAAAGCCCACTGAGTTATGCAGCTCTTTCAGAAGCGACCTGGCTATCACGAATAATAGCTCGACGAAGTGGCTTATCATCACGTGGAAATGTATGGCGGCCAAATACTCCACGGGCATGTTTCTAAATGTGGAGGGAAAAACCGGATGGACCCGGAGAAAAATACACCAGACCGCAGGGAAAACTTGCAGGCTGCAAATACACAGGCGTTAGGCTCGGGATCGAACCCACGACCTTCTGCATACCAGGCGAGGGAGATAACATCTCCCCATCGCGGCGTACATTCGCCTTGCCCGTCTGCCATCGTCGATTTAGTGATGCATCCTGAACAAGTACAATAAAATGTAACAGTCAATGTGATACATCGAACCTTTTTGTGTTCTCTAATCCATGTGCTCCTCCTGGCTCTCAGTGTAATTAAAAACATACTGCTCTACATTGTGTCTGCGTAATTATCAGCATTTTAATCTTGTTTTTTTTCCATCCGCGCACGAGTGCAGTCAACACGTTGCCGTACGTGAAGTTAATAGGGGGGGGGGGATTAAACCAACACGTTTTATATTATTGTGGAGGGCAAAAGCCCTCCCGATTACCAATTTGTCACTGGTCAGTGGGGCTTTTCAACATTTAATGATGCGTTTAAAATGACATAAATTATGCAGACGTTATTAACGTGACGGCCGAAGGTGGGTTCTGTCCGGCCCGTGGTGAAGCTGAAAGAGGAGAGGGGTGGGTGCGGGGGCGAGCGGGGGGCCGTGTTTGAGCCCCCCCTCAACCTCCCCCCATCTCCCCCCACCCCCCTGGAGTTTTGCCACGGCCCCGTCCAGCCAAGCGCCGACACGAACTTGATTTTGCGCCAGGCTTTGAAAGTGGCACGTCTGGGATCCAGCTGGGAGTCATCAACAACGAAGACCCCAGTCCGGGTGAAACGAGGAGACTCGACGGCATTCCACAGCCCCAAAAGTTTTTACGGAATACAGTTTTTATTATTGTTAGATGTTAACTACCTGCAAGAGGTTGCGGGTTCGATCCCGACCCTAACGCCTGCTGTCAAATGGATTTTTCTCCAGGTCCTCTGGTTTTTCCCCCCCCACATTTAGAATCAACATCACGCATTTAGAGTATTCGGCTGATATAATTTTCCACGTGATAAGCCGCTGTGTTGAGCTATCATTTGTGGCCAGGTCGCTTCTGAAAAAAAAGCTACATAGCTCAGTGGGCCTTACCGGGTAAAATAAAATCAGTTTCTTGGTTTGTTTTTAGTTTTCTTTAGGCGTTTGGTGAGATTCTGCGTGGAAAGGTAAACTTGAACGCCGAGGATCGTGAGCCACGCTTCGGATTTTTGTTGCTGCGTGATGGTTTTGTTTTTTTACACACTTTAGGTTTCCTGTGAAGTATCGCTCCAGGCAAGAGTTGGTGATGTAAAATAATGTATTTATAGTTAAATATATGCTGCATTGCCATACTATTTCCCAAATTTATCAGCGGTATTCCTATTAAAAGGTTTTTTTTCGTCCACCGTATAACCCCGTGAGAAGGATGCTACCACGGGGTAATAGTTGGCACATTGGACTTGCTATCGAGGTGGCCAGTTTCAATCTCCCGGCGTGGCAGTTGTATTCAGTTATAACAAAGGGCCACGTTGCCAACAATGGGCCGCCAAGGTGATGAGATGTTGACCACCTCGCCTACGAAAACACACGTTGTAATTTCACCTCTACTTTGGGTGTTTATCACTCAGTGGGCCTCTTGATTCCTGGCATGTAGGTATAATGTTTGCGCGCTGTCAAGGGTGGTTTGACAGACATCGGTCATCCAACAATGTGTTTGTGCAAATTGTTCGCTCTTTGTTGGAGCTGGACTCGGGTAAATTAATTATTTAAACAGAACGGATGTAATTTGCAGTGGCGTGCCAGCCTTTGTTTAAAGCTTTGTCGTCACCAATGCAGTCGAGTGGAACAAGTGGCGCCGATTACGACGCTCGGTTCAACGCAGGAGTGTGTACCTTTTTTTTCTAAAAAATAAAAACGAATCTGCCGACCTTCATCCAACTAGCGCACACATTTGTCACTGTCAGGCGGTCTCGCGTGTGTGCTCTTCCTCACGTGCACCCATCGGGGTCCGTCTGTACACCTTCGCCTGTAATGCGTTGCGATTGCGTCACGGCATTCACGGCGCGCCCCCCCCCCCCCCCCCCCCCGTACACAGCGCGGTAAATAAGTCGTCGAGAGAGAGGGGGGGGGCTCGTTGCAGGCGCAGGTCACCGCAGCGATGCATCACGGGAGTGATGGGCGTGTTCCTAACCACCTCGCTTTCCCCCCCCCCCCTTCTCTCCACTCCCCCTCCGCCCTCATAGCGCGCGTGTTTTTGGCCGCTCGCTCGCTCACTCACTCGTGTGTGTGTGCGTGCGTGTTTTTCTCCGCAGGCGAAGGAGCTGCCCACGTTCAAAGACAACGACTTCATCAACGAGAAGCAGAGGATCGTGATCGGAGAGGAGAACAAGAAACTCTTCCTCGAAAAGCTGAAGAGGGACGTGGAGGTAAACCCACATCGTCGCCACCCACACCGTCGCCACCCACATCGTCGCCACCCACATCGTCGCCTCCCACATCGTCGCCACCCACATCGTCGCCACCCACATCGTCGCCACCCACATCGTCGCCTCCCACACCGTCGCCACCCACATCGTCGCCACCCACATCGTCGCCTCCCACATCGTCGCCACCCACATCGTCGCCACCCACATCGTCGCCACCCACATCGTCGCCACCCACATCGTCGCCACCCACACCGTCGCCACCCACACCGTCGCCACCCACATCGTCGCCACCCACATCGTCGCCACCCACATCGTCGCCACCCACATCGTCGCCACCCACACCGTCGCCACCCACACCGTCGCCACCCACACCGTCGCCACCCACATCGTCGCCACCCACACCGTCGCCACCCACACCGTCGCCACCCACATCGTCGCCACCCACATCGTCGCCTCCCACATCGTCGCCACCCACATCGTCGCCACCCACATCGTCGCCACCCACACCGTCGCCACCGTCGCTGTGGCCGCTGTCGTCCCGAGATCCATCGCCTCAATGGCGGAGGGGTTGGCGCTCTCTCGTTAAGAAGAGATATTAAAGGAAAGCAGCACTCACGTGTTCGGCAGACAGAGGCTGACTCAGAGAGCCACGCACCCCCCCACCCCCCCCCCGCGAATTTCAAATAGCTCTACAAAATTTAAAACCGTCGTCATTTAAACCCCTCCGATATTGCTGTACTTGAAAAAAAATTAATCCCAGAGGCCCAGTGCACTGAGCCGACGCCTGACCCTCGTGTTTAAAGCCATAAGGCTCGTGATCGTGAATGGGATATCCTGCCCGCTGTGCCTGACAGAGCGTCCGTGTTCACCCATGCCAAATAGCCCCAACGAACACGCAGCGTCGTGCCACATCCGAACTATGCAGCACAGCACCTTTTTTGTCTTGCACGCGCCCGAGTTTATTTCATTGCTTCCTACACTTTCTGTAGCATTGGTGACCGATCGATAAAGCATTTATGTCCCCTCCCCCCCCCCCCCCCCCCCACAAAGACAAAGATCCCCCGTGTAGCATTAACAGACTTTCGGGGCAAGTGCTGTTAGCGAGCACCTATGAAGGCCGACACGGAACACGAGGGCACGGGTGGCCAGCACCACGCCCGGCCGCCACGGTCTCCCGAGTGGCGATGTTTACGCATCATCGCCGGGTTCGTGGCGCAGCGCGCTGACCGCTACGCCACTGCTGCAACTCAAGGAACAACGCGCGTCGCTACGTGGCGCGAACTACACATGCTCGCGGATTAAACAAACAACACTCCTCCTCGAATTAACCTGCCAAGCCGCATAGAGACTGTGAGCGTATACATCTCCCGTTATCCGGGAGGTTCATAATAACGCGGCGCGCTGACCGCTACACTACCCTGCCGCTCCCCTCCATGCCCCCACACACAAACACACACACATGCGCAGCACCAGGCACGGGCCTCGCAGCAATGCGCAGCTCGGGGGACAAAAAACACCTTGAAGTAATAACCCGCCAGTGACCGACAATCGGTGCGCCGCGTGGCTCGGTGGGGAGGGGAAAATCTTCGCCGTCTCTGGCGCTCGAGGTGACGTCCAATGCCCAATTTTAGAAAATACAAGACGGGGAACACACGGTCTTTATGTATAATGATGATGATGATACTTGAATTGTTTATCCAGGAAAGCTGTATCGAGACCCAGGACTCACTTTCCAATCTGTTATTGTTTTGACATCCAGTCATTCACAAAGGTAGGGTCAGTCTATATCCCTGCAACAGCCGTTAGTGTTTTTTGGGGTTTTTTTTTTGCAGTGACTGGAAAGGGAATTGTGAAAATTAATAACGCTCTCACTGCAACCGCGTCAGCCCAGGGTCCACCGTTGTGTAAGAGATGATGACTCGCCAGACGCTGGCCTGGTTTTCAATGGCTCAGATTAATTAATCGCTCGAAATGCAACGCGATGCTGTGATGACCAGGCTTGCTGCAGCCACAGGTTTTTAACATTTCCTTTTCTCCTCCGCTGCACCCTCAGCATTGGTGATATCAATCTGGGGGTGCAAAAAAAATACATATTAATCCCACCGTTTATAATCGGGCATACGTGGTATGTATATATAAAAAATAAAATATTGCTTTCATCATTTCAACGATGCACAGCCTACCTGGCGCTGACCGCAGATTACGTAACGCGCTTGTGGGGAAAATGGCTCGTTTAAACGTCGAGTCCTGCTGCCGCTGGAACCACTCTCACACGCCGTGGCTTTGTTCAGGGGATACGTAGGACAGGATGCTTATTATATCACTGTATCCAGTATTATTCTCTAGTTTGTTGACTGCGGAGACTCACCTTGAATCTGTTGGCAGCTTAAGATATGAGATATTGCAGCCATGCTTTTATGTACAGAACCAATTTTGTATATTAACCCACCCTGTAAGTTAAGTTGAAACTGTAAGCTATTTTTATTTTACCATGGAAGACCCACTGAACTGCATAGCTCTTTTTCAGAAGCGAGGTGACAGAGGCTATATAGTTCAGTGATTCCCGACCCGGGCACCTTTCTGCGTGGACTGTGTACGTTCTCCCCACTTTTGTGCGTGGGCTTCTTATGGATTATCTTGTTTCCTCCCATAGCTAAGCAGAAAACATACAGTGTGACTGCCATTGGCCAAAGCATCCCAATGCTCAAAGAATCACCCGCTAATTACTCAATTCGGGATTACACGCAACAGGAGCAGCAGCAGCAACATCGCCACCGACAGATAAAAACGTCTTAAGACTGCGTGAGGCTTTGCCGCGTAAAAAGTGTGATAAGAACAATAATATAATGATAACTGGCTAACTTAGTGCACACACACATTTCGGGACACTTGTCCTATTAAAGATGCAAGCCATGTCAGGTTGCAGCTGCATTATCGTTAAGGCTCAGACCCCCTGGGCCGAAGCACCCACGCGTGAATTATCATTTTCTCCGATGCAAGGGTGCAGCTCGTAATCTACGCGATGTGAATATCAAGGCTGGCTGCTCGGCCGTTCAGACGGATTATGCAGAGCCCTTGTTTCACACGTGTGTGCCTTTTCGTTCTCCTCCTTTCGCTTTGTTATACCGTCTTGATGGGTATATTCCAATGGGTATTTAGCTTTTGAGGATACTCAAAACGTGATCGTCAACGGTGGCATGTAAGCGTCCATGTGCGGCTAATTCAAATGAAGTTTTTATTTTATAATTTCAGTTTTTCTGATATTTCTTCAGTTTTAGGAGAGCAAGCATGCACGACCACTCAAATCACATTATTTAATATAGTGCCCTTCACAATACAATTGTCACATAGCACTTGACAGATGGCCACATTAAAACGTATATAACATTACATCAATACTAATTTAAATGAGTCAACGTAATAAAAGGTATACAGATTGGTTCAACAAAAAAAAAACCCATTATAAACCCACTCCCCAAGCGTGTAAGCAGACCCCATAAACCGACCATCAAATAGTAGTGTCAAGCTGGCAGACAGATTAAGCCACAGGGATTTGTTTCAGACTAAAGAGATGGGTATGCAGCAACCGTTTAAATGTACACAGCTCGTACGTACTAGCAGAATGCTCATTTCCCGCTCTATGTCATTCCACTGCTGGATGACGGCCTTCTCTACTCGGTTGGTCCTGGGGGTAGTTTGATCATAACTTCACCAGACCGGCCCCCACTTCACTCGCCACCGATGCTTGCCGTGGCGTCGCTGATTTCGTGGTGCTGTGCGCGAATTACTGCGACACAGCTATACCCGTAGCAAATGCAAATCGAACAAAAACCTCGCCGCCTTTCTCATTAACTCTCCATTACACTCTGAAGCTAAATTATAATTTAAAGCTAAATTATAATATCAATAACGATTTAGCCAATGCTATTGCAAATGACGAAGGCGGTGGCGATGTTTTTGGCTTGAGTTTTGCACGCCGCTGCCAACCAGGGCAGGAAACCACGGGGGCCCTGCCTTGGGACCTCCACCACCAGAAGGCCCTTTGCACCAGCCCAAAGGTCACTCTTTCTCATGGCATTTCCCTGCTTACGGGCTCCCATACAACAGCTAAACCAAACTATAAACACATTTTTTTTGGTTTAACATGTAGGCTTCCGCGACCAATATTATTCATGATACTCTCCAACACACGGGTGTGTTGGATTTACTCTCCAACACCCCCGGTGGGCTGAACTAGAAAACGAATTGGCGTTTTGTTTACATGACGAATCCCTTACTAATTGTCTGTGTCAGGTGGTGGAGGTTACGACACATTTATACTTACGCAATTTAATCCAAAAACCTTTATTATTATTTTTTTTCACCATGTAAGGCCCACAAAAAAGTGGATACTTATTGTCATGACCTCAGAGGGATGTTGGGCAAAGCCAACTCCCAATCAGGTGTTTGAATCTTCCGATTGCGAGCCGCTTGCTCCAATTTGCCCCCCCCCCCCTTGTATAATTCGTGAGCAATATTGATTTAATGGAATCAGCTCATGTAAACTAGGTAATAGACCACTGGCAAAATGTAATATGATGGTATTGGTATTCGACCTTGAAGACCTTAACATTGTTTGGGATGTTTGTATAAGGATTTGGCACTATACCTTTGGCATACATGTATATTTAATCATCTGTATAGTCTGGAGCATTTCATGCAATCTATTTACTTTGGCTTCTGCACTCAATAAGGGTCCTTATTATATCAATGTATGCAGTCCTCACATTTGTTGACTGTGGACTCACCTTGAATGTGTTGGCGGTTTTGTATATTAACCCACGCTGTTAGTTAAGTTTAATCTATTTTTGTTTTACCAGGTAAGGCCCACTGAGCTATTTAGCTCATTTTCAGAAGTGACTTACCTACTCTTCATCCCCTACGGGACATGAGGCTACTTTCAGAAGCGACCTGTCTGCAAATGGGTAGCTTGTCATCTGGAAAAGTATAGCAGCTAAATA